CTCAAAAACTCAAAACTTGATACAGAAATCACAATAGAAATGAGCGACCCTGTTCAGTGATTCTCGAAACTGGAACACATGTCGATTTCTTGGATATTCGTTTGCATGTACAGCCGCGAGACCTCTAACAATACTAAAGCCTTATATGTGCCAAGTGAAAGAATATATTGCTATTAATATTATATGTGAATATTAGCAGTTTAAAGGCTGGTATTAATTCTGTTAATTAGCTTAGGTAGACCTTGCAGCTGAGATTTAAACGTCTCAATTGTATATTAGCTATAAGCGGTCGGTTCGTTCTTTTGTCGTCTATTTTATGTACATACTAGCTTTTGCCCGTGACTTCGTTCGCCGTGTGTTTCTTGATCATTATTTTGCTGTGATGTTATTTTAAAACAGCGGCATTGGTAGGCAGCGGCTTGGCTCTGCCCCTGGTATTGCTGAAGTCCATGGGCGACGGTAACCACTCACCATCAGGTGGGCCGTATGCTCGTCTGCCTACAAGGGCAATAAAAAATCTTCTCATACTCATTAAAATACTCATAGCGAGATACTCATTAAAATCAAGTGTGGGTAAATTTCTTTAAAATTAAATACTTGTAATGAATAATGTATTTATTTGGATAGGGATTAATATTATCTTCACAAAAATTTTACTCAATGTAGGTAGTACTGAAATGGGCCTAAAGTTAGAGGGGTCAAAAGTACTACCAGATTTAAACAAAGGTATTATTTTACTATATTTACCTACGTGGACTTACAAGAGGTCCTACCGCCAGTCAAAGCTACAACACTGTTCTATTTCTTAGTGCCATTTTATTATTATACCATGATATTATACATGAAATCAATCGTGGAAGGAATTTCAACAATGGAAATAAGGACAGCTAGTCCAGATCACCCACAAGTATTTTCCACCCATTTTGGGTTTAGAAGAAAATCCTCACAGGGAAAGGTAAGTGGTAGGATAGAGCCTTTTTTTAAATTTGTCGTCGCGGGTTCGCGAAAATCGGCTAAAGTTTACGTATATTTAATGTACTTGTCATTTTTAGCTCATCCATATTGATCCTACTTTCAGAATGTGATTTAGGGTCACTAACATTTTGACTCAAGGCTGTGCCTTATGTTCTTAAATGTGAGATATGCCGTATTCTAATGAAATACGTACTCCACAAATGTTCACGATTGACTTTCACGGTGAAGGAATAACATCGTGTAGTAAAAATCAAACCCGCAAAATTATAATTTGTACTGGTAGTAGGACCTCTTGGGAGTCCGCACGGGTAGGTACCACCACCCCGCCTATTTCCGCCGTGAAGTAGTATGCGTTTCGATTCGAAGGGTGGGGTAGCCGTTGTAAGTATACTGAGACCTTAGAACTTATATCTCAAGGTGGGTGGCGCATTTACGTTGTAGATGTCTATGGGCTCCAGTAACCACTTAACACCAGGTGGGCTGTGAGCTCGTCCATCCATCTAAGCTATAAAAAAAAAACAAATAAGTAGTTAACAATTTTCCTCCCACTTTCTCGCCTCTTTTGAAACCAAAATTCGTTCAAAACTGTTACGTAGCAAAAACAGGCAAACCTTTTATTTTTATTGTCCTTGTAGGCAGGCGAGCATACGGCCCACCTGATGATTGATGTGTGGTTACCGTCGCCCATGGACTTCAGCCTATCTGCTAGTTCACAATATGCCCCACCACGAGTCGAGTTGAAAGTGAAGAATTGAAAGTTTTAATTTAAGTATTACTTTATAAGAGCTTTCGAATTGTCACGGCTTGACCATATTTATTTGCAATAATTTTCTTTTATTATTCCACACACGGAGAATATCAGCTGTAATCACCTTACGTGTTTACGTGTTTTAATTTACATTAATTTTACCACCTAAAATTGTTAGATTAATATTGTCTGATGCTCCTCAGGTTTTTTTAGCTTTCAGCACGGTTTCCTTTATCCAATCCAATCCAAATTAGCACCCACTCCTTGGAACAGGCACGATGATTGGGTACAGTGCCTAATACTTATTTCGGTTTTAGCAATTAATTCGGAGTTCCGGCTCTAAATTCTGGTTATTGACGTGATTATCAGATATTTTAGGCAGCGGCTTGGCTCCGCCCCTGATATTGGTGACGTCCATGAGCGACGGCAACCACTTACCATCAGATGGGCCGTATGTTCGTCTGGCTATAAAGGCAATATAAAAAAATACATAGGTTCCGGCAACTACTTAATACAAGCCTAACTTTGGATTATTCTAGTCTAGTCTGGAACTAGAAAAAAATAGATAGTTTGGTTTAGGTATTTAGTTCAATAGCGTTTTGAAAAGAAATAAAGTATATTCACATTCAATCAACTTTATTAACAAACTTTAAAAAAAGAAATTTATCTTAAAGCTCCAATGAAAATACATCGAATTTTATTCTGGATATTTATAATTTATACATTTATTTAAACAAGGGATCCCTTGCGAATTCAAAATAATGTCTAAGTTATACGACATTTTCAATTTGGATTCAAAAACAAGATAAGATTTACAAAACTTAAATACGATTTATGGTCTATGGGATTCAAGGATTGTGTTAGGTTCACTATCAAAACGCAAAATCCGAGCTGGATTTGTAGATGGTCTATGGGATTCAAGGATTGTGTTAGGTTCACTATCAAAACAGCTCGGATTTGTAGATCAATATGAAAATTAACAATAAGGCAAGTAAATACATACTTGGGCCAATGAACTTCATTCGCATCCATTGATTCGTAATGTCCTTTTACGAGTATTTTCCAAATATAATTACTTGATATATAGCTTTCAAAAATTTTAATACAGGTAGGTATTATGTGTAGTGACACTGTTTCTTGACATCATCTCGTAACGTTTCAAGGTACAAGCATGTTGACATTTAAAAACAATAATGCAAGTAAATTCTTGGGACATCAAAGGGCTTTACGAAAATGGTTCCTGTTTTTTTTCCTTTGAATCCCGCGTTTTTGAAGCAAAAGGGTTTTATTTCCGAGAAGACATCAAAGTAAACCTTATCTAAGCACACACATACGACTCAAAACATTAGAACAGATTCCAAGATCTATTGTCTAGGTAAAATATACTTATAAATAATTGTTATCTACAAATCATTCCCCATTGAAATTATAAATAATGTGTGAAAATGTAATGTAATAAAAGTGTGTTTAAAAAATCTGAGTCGCTTAATTTCGTAACGGAGATTACATTGCTACACACTGACTGCTAGACAGATTCACACGTCTTTGTATTTACAATATTCGTATAAAACTTCTAACATTAAAAAATATTCTTAACTACTTATACAAACTAATTTAAAATTTATTTACTCTTAAATATATGTGTGGATTCAATCAAATCTAGTGAGACATTCCCATAATGTATACTAGATGATGACCATAACGCCATCTTGTTGTGTCTTTAAAGCGGTTAGTTACCCTCAATTAATAAAATAGTATTATTTTTCGCCAATAGATGTCGGGAAGAGTTGATTATTGAAAACACGAATAAAACAACATTTTCTGAAAATAAATCGTACCTAGCTAGATCGATTTATCGCCCCCGAAATCCCCTGTATACTAAATTTTATGAAAATCGTTGGAGCCGTTTCCGAGATTCAGATTATATACATATATATATATATATATTAATATACAAGAATTGCTCGTTTAAAGGTATAAGATAATGAGTTGATTTTGTAACAAGCAACCGGATACTAAATTGAACGATGTAGAAGTAGTTTTAAAGGAAATTACCTACCAAAATATGTTTAAATCACTGTACACACAAATCACGCTGCTTTTAAATCAAGCAAACAAACATAAGGTACGATGTCACATGGCCAATATAGTATTATGTTAGTGTATGATCTAAGCTCGTCGTTTATTTGGCCACAAATGACGTCATACGAAATTAAGTTATTTTCAGTCGAGTTCTGTAGTATGTCTAATATGTTTGAATAATGAGGTCGAATGCGTATTATTATGTGTGTACTCTAGAGATATTGTATAAATTCTTGTATTTTTAACAGATGAAACGGAAATGTTACTCAAAGAGCGACAATAAAATGAGAAAATCATATAAATTTATAGGATTTGCCTGCGGAAGAATTAGAATATTTCTGGAGGTCTCACTTCTACCATGCGTCAACTGCAGATATGATTTTTCAATGTTCTATTTTACATTCACTAAAATTTCCTCATGAGCTCAAAAGTGAACATCCAAATGTCTTTGACAATGATATTGACTGCAACTGGTACTAAACAACGAATACATAATGTACATAATTTACTTTCTAAAATTAACTAGTTTAATTTTTTTTTTTAAAGTTTCTGCCTTAAATTTTTTATTTAATTACCCACCAATGTATTATTCTAATTATCTTAAGCTGATAGTTATGTAAACATATCTTACGTATTTATTATACATAATAATATTAATAATACTTACTATGTACTAGTAAAACAATAAATATAGAACACACACATCAGTATAACTTTCCCTTTGTTTCAGTATTTCTTATTTGATTCCTAAAAGTTTAAAAGGACAAACTTTGAACGCCATATTAATTCACAAGTATCATCACTCGTCTTTATTTCACAAAACACAATCACTTTAAAAACGTCGTAACTGCCATAATAAGCAGACGATCAACACTTTATTGTCTCGAAAAGTTTTTTATTTTTGACGTGACAACGTCTTATAACTCGATGGAGCCGACTGCACGCACGAAAAAACATGACTCATGCGGCGTTACCTCGCTCTGAGGCGTTCCATTTAAGGCTTGAAGTGCAAGCGAGAGCACGCAATGAGCGAAAAAGAGGCACAATCGGCCTCCTCGTTCGGCAGCGTTCGACATCTGTCTCTCTCCTACTTGAGTGAGCGATGAATTGTATTTATGCGTACAAATAAATGTAATTTTCTTTTGAAAAATGAAACCATTCCATCAGTATTTTCTGATGACATCGTCACGTTCAACTATCGTCAGTAAACCGACTTTACAGACAACCAATATTTTTTACTCATAAAGTGGAAGTGTGGGCCCTGTTTTGGGTTGCCCGGCTCGCGACCATGTTATCCGGTATAGGAACTGGCTCCCTTCTTCGCCTGTTTCTATGACCTGGTAAAAAAAACAACAGCAACTCATTTACACTGTACTATTATTGGTCTAATGTACACGAAATGCTTCAAACCTTAAGATCTGAAAGCGCAAAAGTAATTTGACAACATGATTTATTAGACATAGCCTAACTATTAATAGGCTCCGTTACGTTTTGCCTCTTTAAAATGGCTTTAAAAATGCATTTTTTTTATTATTTAGATGGGTAGACGAGCTCACAGCCCACTTGATGTTAAGTGGTTACTGGAGCCCATAGACATCTACAACGTAAATGCACCACCTACCTTGAGATATACGTTCTAAAGTCTCAGAATAGTTACAACGGCTGCCCCATCCTTCAAACCGAAACGCATTACTGCTTCACGTCAGAAATAGGCGGGGTGGTGGTACCTAGCCGTCGGGACTCACAAGAGGTCCTATCACACCAGTAATTACGCAAATTATAATTTTGCGGGTTTGATTTTTACTACACGATGTTATTCCTTCACCGTGGAATTTCAATTTCAACGTCAATAGTGTCTTCTAATGTTGAGGTTTGAACGTTTGCAGCCCGCATGTTCGATTTCTTCGACGCCGGCACTATGGAGGGTCTGGTCTGGCGGCTGATGCGTTGCCTACTACCAGTTTATATACCTGTGTAATGGGTCTTGATACGATGGGCGCCGGCAGCGCGGGATGGACGCCGCTTCCCAAAACAGTGCTGTGTGAGCCGCTGCTAAACACAATCCTCCCCCTCCAGTCCGTCCAGCTCTACGTACAATACGTCAATGTTAATTAGATTCAAATAAGTCCGTGACCTAACAAGATGAGCATTTGGCGAACCGATATGACTGTTTCAGTTCGAACTGAGGTAAGCAGGAATAGTTTGTAAGTAACTTTTTATTTAAATTTTTTTTATTGCTTAGTGCGGTGGACGATCTCACGGCCCACCTGACGTTAAGTGGTCACCGAAGTCCATACACATCTACGAAATTGTGTAATGTGAAATTTTATTAGAGAATGTTCTTTTAGTAGATATCTTACACGCGTTGTCAACACAATAATATTGAAAATAAAAAAATTAAAAAATATGATCATAAATAATTTGCAATCAAAAAACGTGTGTGTTTTATATGAAAGATTATAAATGTTTATGATACTGTGAGGTTTTATTGGTGTTGTGGGTTTATTATACATTCTCCTCAGGAAACCTCATCAGAGTGGTCAATAAAACACTAAGTATAAAGTATAAATTATATGTTTATTCGCGCAGCGACCGCGGTGGATCGCTGCACTTTAACCACTGACTGTATGCACAATAACTGCATGGTAAGCGAAGCGGGGTGGGGTATAATTCCCCTACAATACAAAAAAAAACGAATAAAGAAGCTATTATGTAGGTACTTTAATCACAAAGCTTAAAAGACACTTGACAAAAATCATTTGGGTTGGTAAAGTTTACAGACCAGTGCGTCCAGTCTGGCTGCCTCTTATGACACAAGCGGTGACCTCTTGGCTGGAGCTGACTGGTGGTGGAGCAGCCTGCTTTCCGCTCTCCGATTTTTCACGACAACACAACCTAAGGGTATAATGAGGTCCTGAGTTTGAATAGCGTTTTGTAGCTCCAAATGACGTCATTTAAAAGTAATTATTGTATCGTAGAATATGAGTCAAAAATGTTTAGAATCTGGTCAATTTCCAATGAATGTCCCATTTGCAAACCAATGAATGTAGTGGCTCCGGAGGCGGTACCAGTGGCGTCAATTTGACTTGACCGCTCGCTTAAGACTATCCAGGAGCTTCGTTTTTATCCTTATTAGATGATGGTTTTTTTTTGATAACGCCATCTTGGTTAGTTGCCCTCAATTAAGAAAAATAGTATTATTATTCGCCAATAGATGTCGGGAAGAGTTGATTATTGAAAACACGAATAAAATAACATTTTCTGAAAATAAATCGTAGCTAGATCGATTTATCGCCCCCGAAATCCCCTGTATACTAAATTTTATGAAAATCGTTGTAGCCGTTTCCGAGATTCAGATTATATAAGGTAGAATAAACTTACTTACTTTTTTATACTTAATGGCCTTGCAATAATATGGTTTTCGTAAAATGTTAGTTTGTCGTTTGCAGATTCCTGGTAGCGATTTTTGTAAAAGTTGCTAAACTTGGTAATTTAAATTTAGAGCACTGGTAGAATTTAGTGCTGTGAGCATGATGTTACGAGGTTATTACGTCGGCAACGATAGAGACATAGTGCATAGATACAGTTTGCCATATCGATTCAATTATATTCGACACTCTGACAAGATTATTGGATTGACCTCATTACCATAATTGGATGCATGCGTGCTCAATAACAAACGTCATTCAGAACTACCTACTTTAATTCTTAATTCTAATGCTGAGCTATGTACAGAAGGTATTTTAATTGGTGCCTTCGAAAGGTAATTGGCTATTACTAGGGTTTAAAACAAAATCCTGAATATTACTTCTCGCTTATGTATTATTAATACCAACGTATGTTATATAACGTATATAGTTCTGGAACGCGATCTAGAGGTCGGAGCCAAAAAAAGATGCAGTGGTCAATTGTCTGGGCATCTGGACACTTGGGCACTGAGACTGAGCCACGCACTTCACTGTGCCACTGATAGACATAAGTGGCTACAAATCACAAATAAGGTCATAGGCGGGTGCATCACGATGCTGAGCAATGAGCGATTGATTGAGGGACGAGGAGGAAGTTGGTTTTAATGGACGAATTTATAAATCCCGTTAACAAATAAACATAAAGTGCTCCCCAGTGTGAACAGCTATCAATACCAAAGTTCTCCTTTTTTAAGAATGAATCAATCGCGAATCCTAATGCAAGAATTGTTTGCGAGCGAAATGTGCACGCTGCAAAATCTAACGAATATAATGGAAAGGAAATAAATGACAGCTAGATTTAGATTGCGATGCGGACATATCGCGATAAACAAATCTAACTTTATATTGAGACTCAAGACTGTCGCATGCGATAAAGTTTACTGTGTTTTGACCGAATGTGAGGAAAGAAGTTTTACGCCGAAACTCGGAGCTATTTGGAGATTCTAATATCTGTTGTGGTAACGGCTGTAACGATTATGTTATAAGAATAATATGAATTGTACGTATACGAGATATATCCTTTGTTTTAGTTATAGTATTTATTAGTTTTGGCGAACCTTGTGGGCCCGCACGGTTGAGTACCACCATCCTGCCTATTTCTGCCGTGAAGCAGTAATGTGTCTCGGTCAATAAGGTGGTGATGTCTATAGGTTTTTGTAACAACTTAATACCAGTTGTTGGGCCGTAGGCTAGTCCACTCATTTAAGTAATTAAAAATATGTACATATTTATAAAGTACTGTACATATCCATTTTATATTAAAATTGTTATAGTATATACTTGAGTTCGCATCAGTAGTTTAAGGTCCCCATTACGATACTTACTCGCAGCGTATTGAAAGCGTACAGCGTGCATTCACAAGGCACTTGGCATTCCATTCTTCTAGCATGTCTTACCGTACCACATATGGTCTACGTCTTAAACATTTTAAAAACTTAATTTTACATGTTGTTTTGTGTGTATTGCTGTTGGTGTGTCTAAATAAATAAACAAATTATAAATTTTCTAGTTTTCTTGAGATGACAGTTTATTGTAAGTAAAAGAAAAGAAAACCGAAAAATACACCTTATTACTCAATTATGTGCTTATTAATTTACATTAATAGCTTAGATGGATATACACAATAATACGGGTAAATGAGTAATTTTACTTTGGAATTTAAATCCCACTTAATCATGAACAAATGGTAAAGGTCTACTCACCCAAAGATCCCGCAGCTTTTCGATAAGCTTATAAAGGCTTGCCTAAACTTTCTATTCATAAAACAGTATGTGATAGGATTACAGCAAGACGAACAATAGGCGAGGAGCTGTGAGCAAATAATTCCCTTTGAACCTATGTGCTCGTACAACTGGTCTGGGTAGAATAGGTAAATCTGTGGAAGGAAGATTTTAGTTATTAGTTAAATTTGTAGAATAGGTAAATCTGTGGAAGGAAGATTTTAGTTATTAGTTAAATTTGTAGAATAGGTAAATCTGTGGAAGGAAGATTTTAGTTATTAGTTAAATTTCTAGAATAGGTTTTTACTGGTGGTAGGACCTCTTGTGAGTCCGCGCGGGTAGGTACCACCGCCCTGCCCATTTCTGCCGTGAAGCAGTAATGCGTTTCGGTTTGAAGGGTGGGGCAGCCGTTGTAACTATACTTGAGACCTTAGAACTTATATCTCAAGGTGGGTGGCGCATTTACGTCGTAGATGTCTATGGGCTCCAGTAACCACTTAACACCAGGTGGGCTGTGAGCTCGTTCACCCATCTAGCAATAAAAAAAAGGTAAATCTGTGGAAGGAACATTTTAGTCATTAGTTAAATTTGTAATAGTAGACTTGTCTGGCGGTTCGTTGGCTTTAAATTAAAATAAAAACATGTTTCAGTTTCCCGCGGGGATAAAGAGTGGTTTGTGTCACCCTCTGTTTCACGAATTATTAGTCGATTTGTAGCTTCCTCGCTATGTAGAATCGCGAATCAGTAAAAACACCGTGTGATCTAGCCTATGTCATTTACTGCGGCTAAATGTAATCAGGCTGGACAAAAAAGGCCTGGTTCGCCTTTACATAATATATCACTTTTCAATTGAGCTCTTGTTTGGCGGGCACTTTGATAAGTTAGGAAGCGAAGTGAATATATTATAAGTGAATATGTTGTAGGTGAATATATGTAGTATTTTAATTATATGAATATATATTAATTGATATGTCTTTGTTACCTTCTATATGTATATATTACATAAAATATACTATGATAGAGTAACTTCAATTCAGCTTATCTTATCTTATCTTATACCTTTAAACGTGCAATTTTTGTACATATATTATATAATCTGAATCTCGGAAACGGCTCCAACGATTTTTATTAAATTTAGTATACAGGGGATTTCGGGGGAGATAAATCGATCTAGCTACGATTTATTTCCATAAAATATTGTTTTATTCGGGTTTTTAATAATCAACTGTATCGATAATCAATCATTCCCGACATCTATTGGCGAATAATTGAGAGCAACTAACTGCTTTAAAGACACAATAACACTAAAGCTATTTCAGCAGATGGCGTTGTTAAGCCACCCGAAGCCAATGAGTGTTTGGTTTAATGTTAGACCAAGAAAATGAATTGTTTATTTATATTATTTGTGTCTTTTTAACTCACGTGTTCACTTAAAAATACCTAAACGATCTTGGAATATTTCATCATTTTATAAATACGTAATTCGTATTTAAATATAATTTCTAAAAAACACAATTTATCAAACAAAAAAAAAACCTAGCAAAGCTCGATCATCGTCTGGTTATTTTATAAATAACATCGTCGGAAGAACGCAAAACGATTATGGACGATTGAATATGAAAAAAAAACATTGAAGATTGAAGAATCAAGAATCGAGAATAAAGAGCAAAGAAGAATATATGTGAAAATTACTTGAGCACTGGGGCATTGCTGATAACAATTTTATTCGTTAAGATGCTATTCACTGAGTAGTTTCTCCTTTAAGCCGATTTAATGTTTCTTTTGCTTTATAAATAGAGATCTTTTTTGCATTCATGCAGTATCGCGATTCCTATAAAAATATTTTATTAAAACTTTCACATAATATTATAACGAACTCTGGCAGAATTTGTAATATGCTTTTAAAGAATACCAATTTTGTTCTCGGAATGAGCAATAGAAAATGCTGGAGAATTTCAATGGAACTTTTATAGCCATTTCACAGCTATGATTTATTTTGTAAGTATATGTATACAGTAATGTCAGTAAGTTATGTAATAACAGTAATGTAAGTATATGTATACAGCAGTGTAATAGATTGAGAATGAAGCTTACGGCCTTTATTTGTTAACTCACGCAAAATAAGGATGATTATTTATGATCCTCGTCAATAGGAAAAAAAAAAGTTTAAAAAAGATGCGTGGTGTCGTGGGACACCGGATAAGAACGAAGTTCTTTATTATAAAAATACTAATTTTAAGTTCTATTCGAGATATAGAAAAAATAAAACTGGAGGTTTCGCAACAACCCACGGTCATTCGGTAACGTGCAAACTTATTGTGGTACACTTCGTTCACGGTTGTTTGCATAAGAGTTAGTGTATTGCGCAAACGAACGCTCTGAGTTCGTGGTCAATGAATGATAAAAAAATATAAGTTATTTTTTGTACGTTATTACAAAGTTAAGTCGTACACTGTGTGCACTAATTATAAAAATCTTACGTTACGGACGTTTTTTCCCGGTCAGGGTACCCCTCCGCATCGTCCCACAAAGAACTTCGTTCCAAAAATCTATAAAACGTAATAATGAGTTCCTGCAGTCCGTCGCTGTAGCAGCCTCTCCACTTACATATTGCAGTGTTCTAGACGCAATAGATACACGCTAGATACAATTTCTCGGTCGATCGGCTGCAGCTCGCTTAGATTCAACGAGCTCGGTTCACAGGCTTCTAAGTGTACCTCTGGGATTACTTTAGTATTATTTTTTTGATAGTGTAATTAATTTAGATTTATCGTAAATACTGGGTGCTTTCAGGGTACATAAAAATTTTGAAGTGTGTGTGTATTAAACATATTGATGCGATGCGGTTCGCATTTTCGTCGTCGCTGTCGTCGCCGAACATACTATTGAAGAGCAACCCGGTCGGCGGTGTATCGCGTTCCGACCCGGCAGGCTGGTTCTGGCCCAGCGAGGTATCCCGGAACACCAGCGGCACCGCCCGGGCGGCCTGGTAGGGCCGACGTACCGCGGAGACCGATGTCGTTGGTCGTCGACTATCGCCTCGACGACCCGTCGGTCGGGCGTCTTCGGGGTGGCGCCGCGTGTCTGGTTGTAGTGTTGACCGCGGGAACCCCCCTACTCTGACCGGGTTCTGACCCCGGACGGAGATCGGACGTCGGGTGTAAGAGTGCAGGGGAGTCGTTTAGTGGGTGGGTCCTAAAATCCTTGGGCCCGCGATCTGCTCTCAACACCTGCAGATCGTTAAGTCTCACATACCCCGCGCGCCACCTAGGCGCGCGGACCTCGGCCCGAAAAAAAAAAAAAAAATACCCCTCTGCATCGTCCCACAAGGAGCTTCGTTCCAAAACAAAAAAAAACCCTTTTTTAGAAATCCAACTAAAAAATAGAAAATAAATTTTAATACATTTGAATTAAGAATAATGTAGAAGAATGATTTTATTGTAAAAAAAAGCGTGGGGTGATTTTCAGGTTATCATCAAAATAACTCTTCTACACATATCTGTTCATAAAATATTTATAACTATTGATACCATGCACCCCACGCTTTTTTTACAATAAAATCATTTTTTCTTACACTATTTTTAATTCAAATTTATTTTATATTTTATAGTCGGATTTTCTATAATAGCGTATTTTTTTAGTTTTGTTAAACTATTCTTTATTTTTCATTTTTTTAGTTGAGTTTCAATTTTTTTAAGATTTTTTCAATTTTTCAAAAATTTCATTGAATCAGTCGGTAACTTATCCGAGAAATAGGTGATCGGCGCGCCTGGTAGTTTCCCTTCTTGGTCTTGATGCAGACACCTCGGACCTCAGGAAAACAAAAAATCGCTAATCCTGATTATCCTAGTAAGGATAACGGATCAAACTGTTTAAAATATCGAATTGTCATCGTTCTTTAATAAGTATGGCAAATTTCGAGTTAATCCGACGTTTTGAAGAGGGTTAAAATCATGTTCAAAGATACCGTTACATACATTACATAACATACAGCTGTAGCTAATAACAGCGTAATAACAATAGGCATTGTCACTGACACATTCAGATCTGTCAAAGTTTGAAAGATCTTTCAAATCGGAATGCGAGTTTGTGAAGATATGTAGATCTTTAAGGAATTCTTCGGAATCTATATTAATAACCAGTTTATAATTAAATATATCCACGTGTTATGTTAATTACATCATTTAAGATTTCCGGAACGGATTAGAGTATTTTAGTCTTAACATCTTTCTAGTAGTACAGACTAGAGGTTTATAAAAAAAAAAAATAAAAAAAAAAAATATTTACTAACGATCACGCCACGTTAACTGGTCCCGTGGTAAGTTCGTAAAGAACTTGTGTTACAGGTACCAGATAACGGAAATAAATGTAAGATTTTTATTATACACATACATATATTTAATATACATCCATAACCCTGGAAAAGACATTTATATTTATCATACAAATATCTTCCCTTGGCGGGATTCGAACCCGCGACTTCCTTATGTAGTGACCATGTCACTTACCACCACACCAGACAGCCGTTTAAAAAAATCGAAATGGAATTAGACTGGACAACGCTTCAAAGACTCCGTTGGGAGAATATCCTTGGGGTGAAACGTGCATCAGCTGGTTACAGTGTTGACCGCGGTGATCCGCTTACCCTATTGGGGTTCTGACCTCGGGAGGATGGGACGCTTGGGCGAGTGTAAATACCATCCTTGGGCCCGCGGTCTACAATACATCATCATATTATTAATATATGTAATAGATTATCTTTTTGTCTTGTTATAGAAATTAAAACCAAAATATAAAATCTAAACTTTATTTTATTGGTAACACTAAAGTTCATCAATAGAATCTAAACAAAACAAAAGAAAATTGATTGACAAACAAAAGACGAAATGTTTATTTATATTAAGATTACAAACTTAATGACAGATAGAGATTTCCTAATATAATAATACAGTTTGGGGAAATATTTTACTGTAGGCAGCGGCTTGGCTCTGCCCCAGGCATTCCTGAAGTCCATGGGCAACGGTAACTAATTACCATCAGGTAGGCCGTATGTTCGTTTGCCTACAAGGGCAATAAAAATAGATTTTGAAACAAATGCAGTAATTCTTAGTTTAAATTAAATATTTAATATTCACGGACACGATTAACGGCAACTATAATACTTAAAAATATATTTAAAAATCAAAATCAAAATCAAAAATTTTTTTGTTCAACATAAATGAAAGTAAATACTTGTTGAACGTCAGAAGAACTACCGCCAATTCACAAGAACTAGCCTCCGTCCTGAGAAGAATTGGGAAGAAACTCAGCGGACATGTCTTTTTTTTTTTTTTTTAATATTATATATTTTTTTTAATATTCGTTTTTACAATGAGTATTATAACATAACAATTATTACAATATTGAAATGCCCGGATTATATATTTCTTATAGCAAAGTAGAAAAAATAGAGAATACAAGAAGTCCTTTATGGCTCTAGTTTCAGCGTGTTTTAAAACGCGGTCAGTTTCCGCACAAAATCCGTCATGTATGAACTATTTAGTTATTAGCTCGCTAAAATAATTGTTCCCTTAAATTCCGTTTTAAAATGTACTTTAAAATTTTTCATTATCTTCAATTTGTGAAGAAGATTATAATAAATGAGATGCGTAACTTAATTATAGGAACAAAGGATGGAGCTTTGTGGTACAATTAAATTTGAAAATACAATTTTCAACATTCTAATTCAGAAAGATTGATTAATTAAATTTTCGTGACTAAGCTGATAGACTGAACTGAGAATTATTAGACGAGATTTTGATATCTCTATATATAAAAATGAATTGCTGTTCGTTAGTCTCGCTAAAACTCGAGAACGGCTGGACCGATATGGCTAATTTTGGTCTTGAATTAATCGTGGAAGTCCAGGGAAGGTTTAAAAGGTGAGAAAATATAAAAAAAAGCTCGGAATTATATAAAAACAAACAATTTTGTTTTTCCTTTGATGTGACCCCTTGATGTGTCTTTTATTTATCGATTGAGGCACTACGAAGTCTGCCGGGTCAGCTAGTTAGTATTTTAATATGTTTCTGTATAGATTCAGACTGGGAGACGTAAATGGTATGTAACAATCACGAATGTCATATACAAATCATAAACATTGTTTATCAGACTGCTAACGGGACTGCAGTCATCGGTAAATTTGGTTTAATTCTAAAAAATCAACTTCGACGGCGACATTTTGTCATTCCTTGACGTATTGAAATTTTTAATTGCTGTTTATTCAGATTTTGTTTGCTGCGGCACGGCGAACCGGTAGGGGCTATGTAATAAATTCAGTATTGGCATTTATTGCCAGACGAAAATTACTACCAAGTTACTGACTAACGTTGATATGACCATATAAAATGTATAGAACAGTAAGTACTGGAAGCGTTTTCAGTGGTCGGGTTATTCCAGTAACATAGGAATGCAACTTAATAGCCGTAAATCCAATTTTAGACCGCAATATAATAATATGGATGTGCATCGGTGCGAGATTGAATCGTTAAATTATTAAAACGTTGAGTTAATTTTTGGACCATTGGAGAGTTATTTTTTTTATTGCTATTTGAGTGGACGAGCTCACAGCCCACCTGGTGTTAATTGGTTACTGGAGCGCATAGACATCTACAACGTAAATGCGCCACACACCTTGAGATATAGTTCTAAGGTCTCAGTATAGTCACAACGGCTGCACCACCCTTCAAACCGAAACGCATTACTGCTTCACGGCAGAAATAGGTGGGGTAGGTGGTAACCTACCCGCGCGGACTCGCTAGAGGTCCTACCACCAGTAATTACGCAAATTATAATTTTTGCGGGTTTGATTTTTTATTGCACGATGTTATTCCTTCACCGTTTTTTTAACGTAAAACTGGAGATACCCACGATGAACTGATAGTGACGATTAAACGCATTGTTTGTGCGAGCCTTACTCAGTACAAATACGGCTGTCCGAAGGCGGATATGCACATCATCGTCTTCGAACAGTTAATAACCTGGGCCAGGTAGGTTAAGGATCTGGAAGTCATCCTTGATGCACCTACGACATTTAGATTTTACCCTATGATCTGGATCGGTAAGCAGACTAAATGTCCCTTCGTAATAAGGTGACACCAAAAAAAATTTGCATACGGCCTTTAAAAACCTGTGCAAGTGCGGTTTTCATTGATGCTACCCACACCCGCGAAAATCCCATCAGTCCCTTCAATCCCGTTTTCGAATGATAGCCATCGAGCGGACGGATAGCGTTGTATGGACATGTGATGCGTAGAAGATGTGACTAGGAGATGTATGGAAATGGTAGTGCAAGGTAGAGGGGGAAGAGGTCGACCGAAGAAGACATGGATGGAGTGTGTGATCGACGATATGAGAGAGAGAGGAGTGAGTGTTGAGATGACGGCTGATAGAAGAGAATGGAAGAGAAAAATTAGCTGTGCCGACCCCACCTAGTGGGATAAGGTGGAGAAAAAGAAGAAGCCATCGAAGCACCATGATTCGTGAGGAACGTTGACCTTCACGTCGACCTGAGCCTCGAATCAACCAGACAACACCTGAAGTTAGCATCGGAAAGGTAGTTTGATAAGGCGTTGCGTCATGAAAATCTCTTCATTGTGGTGGTCGCTGACTACTTCTCGACTGCGGCCCATGCAGGAGCCAGTCACTATCGACGCCCTAGATATGTCTTTACACTACTTTACAGATCCATTCGATCTGCTAATATTGTCATTAGACGCCCTAGGAGACGTACTAGGAGCAGAAATTTTTTATTTATTTTTTATTTGTTTATTTATATACACACAGAAAAGATGACAGAGTACTAGGAAAATTATGTACAAAGGCCCTGCTTATTTCTTTAAGAAATCTCTTCCAGCAGACCTGCGAGAGGATTATGAGAATAATAATTAAAATGATTTTTTATGATGTTAAATTTTATATGATCCTTGAACTGACTGCTAGGCCCCTAAAAGAACTTGCAGAATTGAGATTTTAATTTAAATTCTGTGAAAATTTCCAACATTGCTCATAAATCACTTTCAATTCCAAGAAACATTTTTTCGTTTATCTTTTTATTTCAGTTGAGCTTTTTTATGCATTGAAAAAGTTTTGCGACAACTGAAAACTCGTTAGTCAAAATCTTTCTTTTTTTGAAGATTTTACTGAATGTAAAGTTTTTACTTTGTCGTAATTTTGATAATGGAAAGAATTGATAATGGAAACAAACTCGAGGTCGAGGACTTTCAACCAGCTTCGTTCCCTGCAGGAAGCGCTCTTTTTCATGACATTTGAAAGCAGACCAGAACTTTAACTGGTCGGAGGCGCGAGGAGTAACCAGAGTTAGCGTGTTCACTCATTTGGTGAACAAAGAAAAGGCTAGGACTTGCAATGACTTTTGTAAATGAATAAATAATCAGAATATTTTTTTACTGTTGGTAGGACCTCGTGTGAGTCTGCGCGGGTAGGTACCACCACCCTGCCTATTTCTGCCGTGAAGCAGTAATGCGTTTCGGTTTGAAGGGTGGGGCAGCCGTTGTAACTCTATACTTGAGACCTTAGAACTTATATCTTAAGGTGGGTTGTGCATTTACATCGTAGATGTCTATGGGGCCCAGTAACCACTTAACACCATGTGGCCTGTGAGCTCGTCCACCCATGTAAGCAATAAAAAAAAAAGTGTTAACTTGTCGTGGAACACGTCGATTTCGTGTTGGTCGTAGATCGGACGCTTAAGGAGAGTCCAAGTTTCTGGAACTGTCAGTGGCTGGCCACTAACCATCTTGGTGTTCCTACATAGTCCGCGCGGAGACCTGGTGGAAGGTTCACCCTAGTAAAAGTTGTGACTAAGGGATTGTTGGCAACTCCAACATTTTAACACGGAAAATAAAATTACATGACTGGCAACATTGTTGATGTCAGTCTCCTCCTTTTTTACTTTTCACCGCGAGCGGACGTGTTTATCATATTAATAAAATATCAAGTGTATGAACATTCAAATAAACCGTATTGCAGCATAAAGCGCAAGTTTTCTTTACATCAGCAACCGGCCCATACATCCCTCACCCAAACAGGGATTTTGTTACCAGAACATCAGGTGACCTTTACCTCGTTAGTCAATCTATGCTTCCTACTTAATACAAATTATGTGTATGGGTCATGACACATTCAGCACGTGCCTCAATGTGTTAATATAAAAAGTATGATACATATTTTTAGTGCAACTTACCGTATTAATAACGTGTAACGGTGTCCAGCACACGAAGAACTCCAGTATTATTACAAACAGCATCCTTATTACCTAGAAATAAAGTTTGTATTTGTGAACAAATATAACAAAGTTTTTCGAGATTTCGAATATTTTACAGTTTTGTTAACAGTTTTACGGACGACACTAATATTCAATTAATATTCTATTTACGGCCGTCTGGTGTAGTGGTAAGTGACATGGTCACTACACAAGGGGGGTCGCGGGTTCGAATCCCGCCAAGGGAAGATATTTGCATGATATATCTAAAATGTATAAATATTTTCCAGGGTTATGGATTCTTATTAAATATGTGTATGTGTATAATAAAAATCTTACATTTATTTTCCGTTATCTGGTACCTGTAATACAAGTTCTTTACGAACTTAGCACGGGACCAGTTAATGTGGCGTGATTGTTAGTAAATATTTATTTATTCTTATAAAGACGTATAAGCCTTGCAGTTAACCCCTCAATCATGTTTATTTCTATCAGAGGCTTTTTATGGTCTCCACTAACCTTTTAACATCAAATGGATTGTTCACCGATTGAAGCAAACATAAAATAAATCCCACCATATTTTATGCTCTACGGCTTATTTCTGTTTACATTGTTTCTCTGAATTTCTTCCTTATTTCACGTCTTTCATTTCCGCCACAATTTGATATGCTCTCAATCCAACTTCACGTTAGGATTGACATGAAAGGATATGTAATCTGAGATGTCCTTTGACGAAATTGGGATGATAATGTTGTGATAATGTAATGTATGTGTAAGTATGTATGTTACATTATATATATATATATATATGAAAGCTAGCGGTAGGGCGTGCCCGCACGAGTAGGTACCACCACCCTGCTTATTTACATTACCCTTACAGTAATGCGTTTCTGTTTGAAGGGTGGGGTAGCTGATGCACTGAAAACCGAGACTTTAGAACTCATGTCTCTAGTTGGGTGACGGTATTTACGTTGTTGATGTCTATGGGCTCCTGTGACCACTTATCACCAGGTGGGCCATGAGCTCGTCCACCCATCTCAGCAAAACAAAAGGCTGCCAGATAGTTTGAAACGTTAGGTCGGCATCTTAATTGTATTTTGCGACGGCTTGTGCGGTCCATGACCACTGGTAACTACTTAACAAAAGTTGAGCTCGTTCATTCATCTACGGAATAATAAATAAATGAATAAAGGCCCAGGTAGAGCTATATAAACATTCAATACACATTAACGAACTTCAAGATAACTGAGCAATAGAGATTTTCTTAGCGAATTTTGCCCCAGGGCTTCTAATTTACTTTCAATCAATACTAATGATAAATCAAACAGTGATGTTGCCTGTCTCAATCCACTCGATCGATTTTGTAACGTGTCTCATAAAATTACAAATCTAAAATGAAGTTTGTAATGGCCAATGTTTTGAACAGTTGTTATTTGTTTATTCTACTTGTGTATGTTTATGTTTTTAAAATGGACTTGGGAGTGTTTTCTAGGGAATATAATGGCTGTAAACAAATATAAGAACAAAATTGTGGTCATAGACAGGACGAACATCTTAGAACCCACTGACTTATTTATACACCTTACAAATAGTTTATTTTTTATTTATTGCTTAGATGGGTGGACGAGCTCACAGCCCACCTGGTGTTAAGTGGTTCTGGAGCCCATAACGTAAATGCGCCACCCTCCTTGAGATGTAAGTTCTAAGGTCTCAAGTATCGACGGCTGCCCCGCCCTTCAAACCGAAACACATTACTGCTTCACGGCAGAAATAGGCGAGGTGGTGGTACCTACCTGTGCGGACTCGCAAGGGGTCCTACCACCAGTAAGTTTACTTCAGAACCTTTTCTAGAGATCGTAGACTCTCTCTGCAGCCCTGAAGCGAGCAGTGTGGTGTCTGTATAACGAAGGTGGTTTGTTAAAACTGTTTTGTTAATGTCGTAATTATATACCAACCTTTCTTTTAGCTTCGATGCTCTTGTCAATGTGGGTAGACCTTACGAAATGCCTGAATTCGTGGTCGACGGCATGCATGCAATATGGCTGTGTGCTTCTTGCGTCTGGCTCCACTTGTTCTGAAGTATCCTGTTGGCAAATGTTTTTAAGCATAAACAGAAGAGTTCACACCACAATAACGTCTAATGGCTGCCGTTGAGTTTTAAGGTCAGCTATCCTAATCATTCAAATGGATTGGATGATTGTAGTAAATGCCAGTTTTGGGACAGAACCAATCCGGGTCTATAGCGTTTATATACGTTAGACGATAATTTCCATAAATTAACGAATCGGAATTTTGTTACACTATTTTTCCTATATCGTGGAAGACGCTTATGAACTAAAATTCGTAGTATTTACCTATCTAATTATTTAGAAAAAGGTTATTGATGAATATTCAGGATCTATCACTTTTGTTCTATTGAAGCTTATGGCACAACTGATGCTAGATTGTCATTGATATATAATATTATAAATATGACATGACGATGCTAGTCGACAAAAGGAAGTGGTTATGTGACTCCTGTTACTTCTAACTAATGCTACACTGTCTTGAATTTTCTGTCGAAACAGTAGACATCTTCATCAGTCCCCAACTCTGGTTGTACTGGTAGCAGGACTTATGAAAACCCCAAAATCGATAGCACCGTTTTAAGTATTTCTACCGCCAAAGGCACCTCGTCTCTCGTGGTGGCAGGTGGTATATACTTTGTGATCACTATGGGTCCCGGGATATTTATCCCGGATATTTCAGATCGTGAGCTAGTCAAACAATTGAATCATAAAAACAAATATTGCTGCTTAACTGCATTTTTAACATCGCCCATTATTTCAAGTAGAAAATCTTTATCGCATGCCACATTTACGTTGTTTTTAGTCGATAATCAGGCTCAAATTACCTACTATTAAGTATTTAAGCAACAGGCTTATCTTTTTTCGTCATAAATTATCGCATTTACGAGTTTACATCCACATAAGTAGATTACTCTAAGCCGATTATATTTCAAAAGACTCGTTAAAAATTATATTATTGTTCATTAAAAAAATTTAGCTAAATCACAAAAGTATTTCGTTCATGGCATTTTTTTATTGGAACGAAGTTCCTTACGGCAGGCTTGGAGGGGATAGGGATTTTGCTGCGCGACCGAACTGAAAAAAATGTGATAGTAAAACCGTAAGAAAAAATCCGTGGAAAAAAGTGCGTGGAAAAAATCCGTGGAAAAAAGTGCGTGGAATAAAACCGTTAAATGAGACGTGCGCAGGCGCGACAGTCGTATACATAAGCGAGTAGTGTATAATACCTTTCTCTTTCTCCCTCTTTCTTTTCGTTCTCTCATCCCTTCTCTCTCTATTTTGTAATTATTTCTATTTCTATGTAATTTTATGTTGTCAAACAAAAATAAAGAGACATATTTTGTTATTTTAATTGATAATTTGAATAATTACGATTTTATTTTTATTTTACGTAATTTATTATTTCCTAAAATACTGAATTTCCTAAATACTTTCCTGTGCTTAAATAAAATTAATCAGCAAAATTTAAGAGAAAAATCAAGAAAACCAACATAAAATTGAGCACGATTTTTTTTTTGCAAATTATGTCGATTCTACATTAGCCGAAGGAACTTCGTTCCTACCTGGTGTCCCACGACACCACATTTATAGTTTTTAATTGTTTTAAGCAACAAAACCGAACGTGTGCTAGCACGTGGACTTCAAAATCTCTGATATAAAATACATTATCGAATATCCTATGTAGCCGATTCTTGACTACAGAACGACATATTCCAAAATTTAGTTACTCGGGAAAAAGTTTTTGTTTGAATAGAATACGCATGAGTTTCCAATGTTTAGCAATTTCAACTATCTCGTTTCGTTACGTGAATAATAATGCGTTATTGAATGTTGAACGATTTTTTAGTTCCAAGTTTGTATTCAAATCAAATCAAAGCAAATCAAAAAAAAATTATTCAACATAAATGAAAGTACATACTTGTTGAACGTCAAAAGAACTACCGCCAATTCACAAGAACTAGCCTTCGTCCTGAGAAGAATTGGCAAGAAACTCAGCGGGCGTGTCTTTTTTTTTATTTTTTATTTTTTTAAATTAGATTTTTTTTTTAAATATTCGTTTTTACAATGAGTATTATAACGTAACAATTATTACAATATTGAAATGCCCGGAGCGAGAAACTCATTCCCATTCATTTTGCATGCCAAGCCTTTTCGTTTTCAACATTTGATGCGGTCTATGGTTTCCGTGTACGTTACCTTATTTGTATATAGCAGGATTTCGAAGCACGGAATATTGATCGAGTTGGATTTTCAAGGAATTTACCAAGTTTCTTTTCCTTAGCATGATACATTCGGGAAACGTATTGTTACGCCTTTTGTGGATAGATGAGTTTTTGTCCACCATCCGCTATTCTACAAAATAATCCATCTTTATCTAGCTAATGCAAATGCTTTCAAGAACTTAGTATTGCTTGTTGTTTTTGTGTTTAAAATAAATTTTATTCTGGAATTATAATGCAAACGTCAGTATCTAAGATTCGCAGGTGAAGTAGTATTGAAATTCAGCTATTTCACAAATCGGGTTTATATTTAACTAAATAAATATTTACTAACAATCACGCCACGTTAACTGGTCCCGTGATAAGTTCGTAAAGAACTTGAGTTACAGGTACCAGATAATGGATATAAATGTAAGATTTTCATGATACACATACATATATTTAATATACATCCATAACCCTGGAAAAGACATTGATATTTATCATACAAATATCTTCCCTTGGCGGGATTCGAACCCGCGACCCCCTAGTGTAGTGACCATGTCACTTACGACTACACCAGACGGCCGTTATATATTAATTCGAATTGGTGTTGAATTACTATTGGAATTACGAACTTAATACCTTGAGGTAAGGATTTAACTTTATGATAGATTGTTGAAATTGTTTCTCATTCCAGAAATACTCAAACATGAAAATCGTTATATAATAAATAGTTTGTCAGTAGTTCAGTAAATAATAGTTGTAGGTATTTATTAATATAAGATTGATGGTTGTTTCCTGTGATTTAACAATCTCTGTTTTAGTATTCAAGGGATGTTGTATTATTTATTAAATACTAACTGACTCGGCAGACTTTGTAGTGCCTCAATCGATAACCAAAAGACCTAAGCTTTTGTATAAAATAAACTTAAAACAAACAAAAGGGATCCGTCCGACGGAGGACACATTTTCATATTTATCTACCTTTTAAACCTTCTCTGGACTTCCACAAATAATTCAAAACCAAAATTAGCCAAATCGGTCCAGCCGCTCTCGACTTTTAGCGAGACTAACGAACAGCAATTCATTTTTATATGTATAGATTGTGTTATGTAATAATTTTATTATATAATTGTTTAATAACGTTATTATTATTATAATTTATTGATCTTAATTAAATAGCATCTGCGAAACCCGCTGCACCCCTTTGAATTTCTTTAAGCACTCCGACAACCGCTTAGCATTACGTGAACCGTGAACTTGTGTTGTTGAACAGCGAAAAAATACTATTCTAAAGTCAAGGTGCCAGTAGGTCAATAGAAAAGAACCCTCGCATTAAAATACTGTTTTAAAACATTGTAAGACCTACAGCCGTTTAACATTAATCAGACTGTAATTTCCATAAAGATCTAATGAACCTTTATCCAAATTAAAACGTGGACTCGTGTTGAGCTTTATTAAGCTTTCGCTTTGTAGTAACCATAATTATAGCATTAACATAATCTGATAAACTAAATAATTTAAATATATTTTTATATAAATACGTTAGTCGATTTTTGAGACCGTAGTTTCATTTCTTCGGTTTCTCTGGAATAGAGATAGTATTTAGTAATGTTATATTGTAAGATTATTTAATAAAATATAACGTAAGATCGATTTAATAAAATTACTTCAGCATCGACTGCCCCAAATAAGAATTTACTCGGTTGTAATGAGTATTGTAAATACGACGTGACTTCGGATCCTCTCCATCCCCTAAAGGTACTTTTAGATACCTCGAACACCGGTCATCATCCTCATCGAACCCGTGGCGATGAAGGGCTAACGACGGTAAGTTTGAGCCCCGTGAGCTCACTTACTTTTTTTTTTTTTTTTTGGAGTTTACTCCTTTAGAATCGATTTACATATATAGGCCCGGGGTATGAAAATTATGGGGACCAAAATCGTACTAGCATGTCACACGAAATGCGTTATGCGCCTGATTGGCTCCTGATTGCGTGATGCGTGCGCGCGCCAATCAGGAGCCAACGCGCGGCCGCGTTATCGCATCATGCAGGAGCCAGTCACCGTCGACGCCCTAGACACGTCCTTACGGATCCATCAGATCCAATAACCTTTGCATTAGATGCCTTCAGCTCTAATACTAGGGGCAGGCTTAGGGACCCCGGTAACCGTACTCGTCGAACTCGACAAAGAGGTCGACGTGCAACCTAACCCATGCATCAGCCCGCTGAGTTTCTCGCCGGATCTTCTCAGCGGGTCGCGATTCCGATCCGGTAGTAGATTCATTCGCGAAACAATTGCTCTTGAGTTGTTAGGTCTCCTTCGGAGGCGCTCGGGCAGTTGTTAGCAAATCCCACCCCTCTTGGCTGAGCCTTTGCTCGCCCAC